AATACTGAGTGGCCAGGTTCAGTCACCCCGTTACAGTCAGCCGGGGCATATTGAAATGCTCTGTTCGATTCCAATAACGGGAGTCAGCAGGAAGAGAAAGGACCAATTCACACGACGGGTGAGCCTGGTTCGAAGAGCCAATTGGATCTAATTTTGAGAATCCAATCCGGATCCTCTTACCCAATATGAGACCTGCATTGGTCGGGCAACCCAATGCAGTCTAATTATGGAAAAATCCAGGTCTTACTACGGGCCTCAGCCAGATTGACGCGAAGGACCAATTTGATCTAATTACGGGAAAATCCAGGTCTTACTACGGGCATCTTACCCAATATGAGACCTGAATTGGTCGGGCAACCTAATGCAGTCTAATTACAGGAAAATCCAGGTCTTACTACGGGCATCTTATCCAATATGAGACCTGAATTGGTCGAGCGACTCAATGTGGTCCCGATTACGGGGTTTCGATTCTGTTTCAGGCTGTCCTGTTCTTTGTGTCGTTTCAGAGAACGTTGTTTTCGGTAAATGGATCTCTTAAAGGTAAAAACAGAGGAAAAAGCTCTGACGGCGGGAGCCAATTTCGAATCTAAGCTCTGATGGTGGGAGCCAATTCTGGATCCAAGACGGAAGATTGAAGAAATTCAGAGGATAAGGTTAGGGGAGAGAATAGTTTTGGGAGGGGAGGTTTTTTTTGAAGATAGGAGAGAGCTAGCTTCATGCTTTGGAGTCGGGGAAGAAAAGACAGAGAATTGGGTTTTTCTTCTTCATAGGCTTTTGGGAAGATTGAGGCAATCGTTGCTGAAGTCAATGTTGTAATGGTGAATCGGGATTTTTAATGAAGTAGGTGTGATCACTCTTGACTGTTTTGTGAAATCGGAGTTACGTCTGTGAATGGAGAATTAAAAGGGTGTCTATAGGATTGAGTATGCGGAGTGAATGAAATTTAATGGGTTAATCTAACAAGACAGTCAGTGGATACAAGATTGTAAGTACAAAGCGGTATCGAAGATTAACAGTTTGGGTTGTTTGGGGTTCTCTGTAACGTTTAGAGACCTACCGGCCAGGACAAAAAGGACTTCGGCGAGCAGTCGAAGGGGCATCCGTATAGATTTACGGTGTATTCTTGCATTCGTTTATATTCTAACAGTCAAAAACTGATAGACTGCTTGACTACTGGCGAATCTCCATACTACCTTCTAAAGCCAGACGCTCGGTGCGTTCTCGAGCTAGAAAGCACGTAATACGACAACGGCTCCAATCTTGGTACATCCAGACTTTACAAAGGTCTTTTATTTAGAAACTGATGCTTCGGATTTTGCTTTAGGAGCTGTACTTTCACAAATGGAAGAAGACAAGAAGCTCCATCCGGTTGCATTCTATTCTCGAAAGTTTTCTACTACTGAAATCAATTATGACATCCACAATAAGGAACTTCTTGCTATAGTGGATTCTTTCCAAGAATGGCGTCACTTTCTTGAAAGAGCTGCACATCTAGTGACCGTATACACAGATCACAAGAATTTGGAGTATTTCATGTCAGCTCGAGTTCTAAATCAACGTCAAGCTCGATGGAGTATATTACTATCTAGGTTCGATTTTGTTATCACTTATCGACCTGGAAAGCAACAAGGACTATCTGATGTCTTATCGAGGAGATCGTATCTTGTACCAAAGCCTGGAGAAGCAGCGTTTGATCAACAATGTACGACATTGTTGAAGCCAGAGCAATTTCAGCTTTGCGCTACTATTGTGCCAATTGATGTTGATTTCCTGAATCAGGTACGTGCCGTGACCATTGAAGATTCAGTAGCCATTGATATTAAGCAGCATGCCAATGACGACAAGTTCAAGGTGGAGGAAGATCTTTTATACTTTGAAGAGCGGTTATATATCCCAAAAGGACCAGCACGACTCCGAGTTCTTCAATCTCGCCACGATTTTCCAGCTGCGGGACATTTTGGATTCAACAAGACCTTGGAGCTTATTTCTCGAGATTTTTGGTGGCCCCAAATGTAGAAGGATGTGAAAGATTTTTTCCTCTCTTGCGACATCTGTTCAAGATCCAAGAATCCTCGGCATCGCCCTTATGGACTCCTACAGCCATTGCCGATTCCACGTCGACCATGGTCTTCAATTTCCATGGACTTCATCACGGACCTGCCATCATCGAACTCATTTGACAGCATCTTTGTCGTGGTAGATCGGCTTACAAAAATGGCGCACTTTGTCCCTTGCAAGAAGACATCGTCTAGTGAAATCACAGCAAGGCTCTTTCTCGATAATATGTATCGTTATCATGGACTACCAGATGATATCATATCAGATCGAGGAACCCAGTTCGTATCAAAGTTTTGGAGATCTCTTTTTGAGATACTAAAGGTGGATATCAAGCTTTCTTCGGCTTTTCATCCTCAAACTGACGGTCAAACGGAACGGGTGAACCAAGTCTTGGAACAATACTTACGATGCAGCATCAACTATCAGCAAGACGATTGGACCACATATCTGCCGCTAGCCAAGTTTTCATATAACAACACCTTCCATGCATCAACTCAATACACACCATTCTTTTCCAACTATGGATATCATCCAAAGCTTGATTTATTGAGTCCATCAACAAATAACAATCCAGCAGCTGAAGGATTTGCGAAACAACTATCAGAGCTTCAAAATACGTTGAAGCTTCAATTACAATCCGCTCAAGAATCCTACAAGGCGTCTGTTGATAGATTTCGGAATCAAGCACCTACTTTCAAAATTGGAGATAAAGCATGGCTTCTTCGACGGAATATCAAGACCAAGCGACCATGTGATAAGTTGGACTATCGAAGATTGGGACCATTTATCATCCAGAAGCAAATCAATCCAGTGGCGTACCGTCTGGAATTACCAGCTTCTATGAAGGTACATCCAGTCTTTCATGTTTCTCTGTTGGAGCCTTATCGAGAGTCATCTTTTCCTGGAAGAGTGCAATGTCCGCCACCTAGTATTGAGATCGAGAACCATGAGGAATATAAGGTTGAAAAGGTATTGGATTCATGGCGAAGGTGGGGCAAGTTGGAGTATCTTATTCATTGGTGCGGCTACGACATTAATGAGCGAACGTGAGAGCCAACTGAAAATCTCGCCAATGCGCCGCAAAAGGTACAGGATTTTCATCAACAACATCCTCATAAACCTAAGCCGGTTCGACGATAGCTTCCTTCTGAAGCTTGCTCATCAAAGAATATAAGAAAAGGGGAGAGCACCACCAAAATTCGTAGTTGATGTAGTTATTTTCTCCAAGATAAAATAGAATTTTTTCAATAGCCATAGTTTGGTCTTCTGATATGGATAGCCAAGAGATAGATACTATGCCAGTCAGATTATCTCAACCAACTAGTTCACGAAGGCGACCCCGAGATGAAGAACCACCTGCACAACGACGACGACGGAGGATACCAAGTAATCGATCTTTGGTAATTGTATTTGAGTCCGAGCCTGCTTACGATGGTCAGCCAGAAGGCATATTTGCAGGACAATTTCACAATGAAGACACGGAAGTTCATGCTTGGTTAGAAGTTGAAGGAGTGGGCCACTACCGTTGACTTCAAGGGTCGATGAACCACTTACCTCGTGAACAACAGTTGGAGTTCATAGCAGACGTTATGCGACAGATCTTCATTTTCTTGCGTTATTACTGATTGACAACAACATTGCTTCTCAGAGACCTCGAAGCTAAAGGAGGGGGTGATGTTAGGAACATAGTCCTTAGAACCTTCTAGAGACAAGTTTCTAGAACCTTCTAGAGACAAGCTTCTAGAACCTTCTAGAAGCAAGTCTCTGGAATCTTCTAGAAGCTTCTTAGTTGATAGAAGTTGCTTGAGAAGCTTCTTAAATAGGAGTGTATATTGGAATCGAGGCTGAAGAGTTCTTCAGTCTTGACAACACATCTCTTGGAGCTCTAGCTCACCTCTCTGGTGTTGTTCTTGTATTCATCTGATTAATCTAATTCTTGCCAGTTCTTCTTGAACTTCTTGGTAGATATCAAGTCTGTATTCTGTGTCCGTGACAGCTAGTCTTGTCAATGACATTGTATCCATCATTGTCCAATGCAATCAAAACGATGATGCTAGCAATGAAGACATTTTGAAAGTCTTGTCTTATGATTTGTGTGAATTACAAATGTCTTGACTATGCATTTCCATCCAAAGGCGTAAGATGTAGTTAGAATCGGCTAGATGGAATGCTTAATCAATCAAAGATATTGAAAACAACCACCAAGCTATGGTGCGCACTTACCACGATGAGATTATCTTTAAGAACACTATTGACAAGTACTCTGATTTGCAAATAGAATTTCACATTAGATAGACTCATTGCAATGGCCAATTTCTACAATGTCAAAGATTTTGTGGTGGGCTAGCCTCTATTTTCTCTAATACAAGTACTATCAAATCTGACTTCACCATGATTGGATGGTAGAAGGATGAATATTGGCAATGCCTTACCAACTTCTCTCTTAAGAATATTCTACTTTCAAAACAATTCAATAGAATCTATCAAATTTGATAAAGATGGATAATTTTAAACAACTATGTAGATAAATTTCATCTCTTGTACACCTATAATAAAACCTAATTGCAATCTTAAAATAAGATAAATTAGATATTGCAAGGAAAGCCCTATTTTAAAGTGGCATGCTCAACACTAGTGACACCACCTTCTCAAGTGTTCTATAACAATCTACAAAAGTAAAGAATTAAATTTGTTCTTTGTTTTAGTATTTTACACAAAAAAAATCACTTTCTTATTGAGAACCCATTAATTTGTAGTAGCTCACTTATACCCATGTACTTCAATAAAAATATAAAAATTAATATAATTCTATTTGTTAATGAAGTCAATCAACAACAATAATATCATTTATGAATACAAAAATTTTAGTATTAACAAACACAACCTACACAACAACTAGTTTCACAAAAGCATTCTAAAGTTGTAAATAGGGATATCTAAAATATATTTAGCAACAATATAACAACAATATATTTAGCAAACAAATAAAACTTCATAAGTAAATTAGAAAATATCTCTTCATAAGTACAGAAAAGGTAGACACTATGAGATGTTAATCAAACGATCATTGTATTTACAAGCCTGATTCACGATGTCACAGTGTGAGATATCAGGGAGTGTGTATGCAAAGCTTGTGCTGAGCATGTGTGGCGATGTGAGGGCTCCTGGGGGGGAGGGGGTTAAACCCTAAACCTAAAACACCTTTGGGACTCCATTTCCCCTTTCAGAGGTTGTTGTGAAGCTCAGAGAGTTATTCACGCTTTGAGGGACTATGGAATCCATGGATGCTGCAGTTTACAGAAGGAATGACGTGAGGGGACTCTCGAACACGCTCTTGCCGCGGATGTGCATGATCTGCTCCACCATTTCCTTGTATGCAAAGCTCCTGTAACGCAGAGGATTATCGTTGTCTACCAATGCCGCCGGAGGCACGATCATCGTGTCAGGGTGAGGGCCGAAGAAGTGCACTACCGTCAATCGAGGCTCGGTTGCGTTTACGAGTGCCCGGTGCATCACGCTCTTGATTCTCCCGTTACACCACGCCTGCCGGACACAATGAGTTAACCCTATCATTTCGCAAGCTCTCGCGTCATTTCCATTCAAATGCAGCAACTAGGGTTTGTTTTTCCGACATCGTACCTGAAAAGTATCCCCGACGTTGATGACTAACGTGTCCGGGCTTGGCTTCACGGTGATCCATTTGCCGTCCTTGAGAACTTGCAGCCCGGGCACGGTGTCGTGCAGCAGAATTGTGAAGATGTTGAAATCGGAATGAGGCGAGATGCCCAGCGTTCGGGAAGGGTTCGGATGTGGGGGGTAGTAGTTCATGCGGACAGTAGAAGTGGTCGATTCTTCGAAGTGCCGAGAGAACGCTGTGGCGTCGAGTCCAAGTCCCAACGCTACCTGCTCTGTCAGCCGCACGGCTAGCTTCTCCGTCTTTGAGGCGTAGTCCTCCACCGCGCCACTTCCAGAATATCCCAGACATGTCGTTGATGTTCAATGGTATCAGTACACTAAAATTGTGGCAAGTGCGTCTCGGGTAACTTAGGTTATTCCTTCCGATATGGATCACGAGCAAAGCAACGTTTGGTAATCACGAACTAAGCAAGTTGCGGTTATTGCAACCCTTACCAAAAATCCTCGTATCGAGCGTGCGCTAGCCCGACTTGCTGCACGTGTCGGCGCACTCGTGAGATGGGCGTCCACTCCATGTCAAAGGCCTCCATCCAGTCGTTAGGGAAGTATGTACGTGCCTTGGAGACGCCATAGCCGTAGAAATTATTCGACTTACATGCGGCTACTCGTTCTTTCTGTTGCAATGGTAACTCAAAGAAACAGTGAGCGTGTGCCCGCAGCCTGTTGAGAAGCTCCGGCGGGATGCCATGGTTGTGAACTTGGAAAAACCCCCAGTCCCGGCATGCAGATACTACTTGCTCTCCTAGATGTGCGGAGTGCAGGTCTATGGTGGGCAAGGTATGCGAACTGGCCGAAAACATGTTGTGAGAGGGCAGTGCCAAGTCCATTTCATTTGGCATGTGCGTAACTAGTCCGCGAGTTTGCAGGAGTCCTGAGTTTTGAATGATACGTTCGGGTGGCAGTGTCATGGTGGTAGCGGCTTAGTATCGATTGCAAACGTAGACAAGTTCAGAGCATAGAGAATCAGGGAATACCCCACTTGTGGTCAACTAAAATCGGCTGTTTGACGACAACACCAGACCATGAAGTACCTCGAGGAGGATCGGACCTTGGAGACTTCTCTGACATGCACTAACGAAGTTGAGGAAATCAGACTCTAAGAAGCCACCTCCAACACGTACTCTGCAGCATACCGATCTCTCGAAGGCCTTCCTTATAAAAACAAATCTTAGTGAGGCTTGATCGGCATCCCACCACACTTGATATGTTTCATTAATTTCCAATTTTTCTCTCCCTTTCTCTTTTTTTTATAAATAAAATATTGTTGTTTTTGGGAAGGGGCAAGAGTCGTCATTTTGGATACTATTGAAATAACATTAATTTAGATCGACCTCTGGAGGACCTCAATGTCATTTTGTTGGCGATAATTTAACACTCAATAGCTTTGTTACAGCCTTTTGTGGGATTTGTATAAATTTGTCAATGCGAATTTTTGTGCTCAATGTTGAGCACGAATGATTCTCACTAGACAAGTCATACAACCTATTCACAGCATGCATCAGTGATGAACTCCCATCAATGAAGCGGTTTGGATTCGGAATCCATGGTGGACGTGCACAGACCATCTCTCTCAGATCGAATCTAAAGGTTCGGAGCCAAGCTTTAGGTTTGGACAATGAACCAAGACAGATTTTCCTTTTAAAGAGGTCGTATAAGTACGGTTTTAGTTCTTTGGTCGTAGCACTTATAATTCAAAATACGAAGAGCTGCTTTGAACTGATGAAAATCCCTGATGGCGGGCAGTTCCTAACGATGCAGTAATTGCGAAGGGTAATTTATCTGAGCTCAACATGGGGGATGTTTGCGCTTAACCTGTTTCTGCGAATGCGTCACTTACCGCATGATTTCGAAGTTTCCAAAAGCAGATTGGTGTAGATGATTGGACACTTTTGGAAGACCGCATCGATAATGTCCTACACATTGCAGATCAGAACAGGCTTTCTTATTTACGCGGATTCGTGCATTCGAAGATTTTCTACTGATTTTTATTGACAATGGTAAGCATGAGGAATATCGACTTGAGCTTCCGTGGTTGTATGACTTTTGAACTCGTGAGAATAATTCTCCGCAATTATCGTCTGGAGGTAATCAATTTCTCTATGTGGAGATTCAAATACTCTTACTTCATTTTGATGCACTTCCATAACTTGTTTGGTTCGAGGTATCTGTAAACCATTGGTGGTTGACTGCCAAACTGGACGTTAGGGGTTATTATCGGTGAGGAGATGCTTTTGAACGCGGTTGGTTTTCACTCGAAATTCTACTAATTTTGAGGCTTTGACGTCTCAGCCGCAATTAGTGACAAACGGTTGTAAGTACAGGTTGATGTTTATCCAGATTAATCACGAGCTCTTGGCAGTTTTTATGCTGCAAGAACAATGGTTGCTTTTGCTTTCGTAAACATGGCCCTCGCTGAAGGCCCATGGCAAACTTACCAGACTCAATTGTGAACATGAGTCGTCAATTACATTTATCAATGAGACGGGTTAAACCAACAGTGGAAACGTGTTATTCAAATGAGTGGTTCAGGATCTGATCATTGAAACATGCCAAATCCATCTTTAGCGCCAGGATGCCGTTGCAGATCAGTGATCCCTCTATGAAGAATAGGTGAGCAGATGTAAGCTGAATGCTCAAATTTTGTGGACGAAGCTATGAAGTTACCCACTAACTTTAAGTTTTGGAGTATTTCAACTTGGTATGGTTCCGAGAAATTGGACACACAGGCGACATGGAAGTCTGAGAATGATGTTTTAGATTACAGAAGTCTCTCGGAGTTGTCCTGTGGTTCTGTCCCGATTTGTGATGGTGAGTTGTAGAGACCTAGTTAACAACAACAAATAACTATAGATGAGTGGACCCAACCGAAAGAGGGTGGAAGGTGGCGATTCATGTTCATGTCGTTGTGAAACGACGTTAATGCACTTCCTCATATGCCTGCCGGGAATATAACTGTCTGCAGAAGGGGCTTCACTGCCAATCCTATCATCTCGTTGAACTTCACATGTGCGTCCTCGGTTATACCAACCTGTTTATGTCGTAGGACCTGCGCAGAGTAACTGTAATTCTGCCGAACCCTGGGCTGAATCCAATAAGCTGAGTTTTCTGCAGGAAAAAAACGGTGTGAGAGACGGACCTGCAGGATCAACTCTTGGAGGAGACATTTCTGCAGGAATGCTAACAAGGTACAAGAAAGGAATCATCTGAGGCAAGAAAGAAAATCTCTGAGAACGTCCGGGTAGGTGTCAGAAAGGATTAGAGTAGCGGATTGGGGTCACGAAAAGAATTAGACCTAGATAGACTGGGAAGGCAGGGGACCCATGTCGCATGTGCTCTCAACCAGCGCCACTTGGAGAATGACAGCCTCGTCCGTCCGGCATTGGTAGGTTATGTGATCACCAGGAATTGTGTGCAAGAAGCGCATAACCGGTTGCATGCTTTTGTAACTGGCACATCCTCTTGAAATGCATTCATGGTATGTAAACTCCGCGATAAGGATAATGTGACGACTTTTATGGTCGAAGTTGAATCGCTGGTGTTTAAAGACTAGGTGGACCAAACTGTCCTGCAGATTTGGATGTGATGATATCTTTTGTGTCACACGGTTTCGGGGACATTTAAATCTTCAAGTCATTCACGCTCTCTGAGCAGAAATGGTGGACCTTGGTAAAATGGTGGGATGCTCAGCTAACTTGTTCCGAAAAAGTATCTTCTTAGAAGAAGACGAGGTTTGCCAATGAATCTTGTGATGAGTATGGTAGGAGACTTGGGATCATATTATTTAGACGATTAAATCTGCACTGAGCGACATGCTGTCTGATATGTGCAGGTCTGTAACAAATTGATCAATTGATTAGCGTGCACGTCTTTGCACTTCCAAAGTTTGGCTCCGTGCTGTAACCTGCTTGCACGGCATCTGCGTGCACCTGCATTCGAATGCCATTGATACAACCCGGTACATGACCATTTTCACTGGCCATTCTCGCTTTCTGCCTCTAAAGAAACAATCTGAAATCCAAGGTTGCAAGTAGAAGTCAGACATAAACTTCGCCATACTCGCTGCATGTGAGTCTCAGCCAGATTTGACACCTTGTCCCAGAAAATTTCACGGATTCGTGGCTGATTAGTTTGTGTGGAATAACCTGAAGCCACTCTAAAATGTGATTAAATTACAGAATTCAATCATGGCGACCACAGCTGTGGATGTTAAGGAGCTCGCAAACTCCTACGTCTTTGTAGCGGACATGCCTGGTCTTAAGCATTCGGATATCAAGGTACAATTTACATATCAAAACGAGTCTAGCAGACGTTTTTGAAAATGTTGCATCAGTTCTTGACCATAGGCCCAGGTTTTTTTTAGATGTTTTTATCCTTATGCACGTTCCAAGCACTGATTTGTACAAATCCTTGTGGCTATGTCCATTTGATTCCGTCCAAGCAGTAACCAGTCAAACATTGCAAAGCTGTAATCTTCCAGGTGCAAGTGGAGAATGACAACGTGCTGAAGATAAGTGGGGAGCGGAGGCGAGAGGATGCAGTGCAAGATGGAGAGGTCAAGTACGTGAGGGTGGAACGCAGTGCCGGCAAGTTCATGCGCAAGTTCAATTTGCCGACGAATGCAAATTTGGACCAAATCTCTGCAGGCTGCCAAGATGGCCTGCTAACGATCGTTGTGCCGAAGATGCCACCGCCCGACATCTACAGACCCCGGACGTTCGACGTTAACGTCACTTCGGGCAACTTAGGACAGTGAGACTAAACATCAGAATTCGGCAGAAAAATATGCAATGTTAGGCATATCGGTCTGATGAGCTCAGAGTCAAAACGTCATAAAATGTATGACTACAGACTCGTCACATTTACAATTGTTGAATGTTCACTGTTTCTTCACCTCCGAAATTGCAGCGAAGTCTCAGTAACACCTACATTTAACTCGACGTGCACTTCGTTTCGATGATGCATACAAGCTTCTGTAGGGGAAGGGAGGGGGAAGAGCCGAAGTAGAAACGACATCTTTTAATCAGATCTGCAATTATGGTATTTAAAAAGCTTAATATGGTGCACCGCAAAATTCTACAATAAGGCTTCTGCTTTTATGTCACATACTCACACCATACCAGAAGTCAATTTGTAGTGCTTGTAAGTGTTCATTATGATTGGCACTTTGTACTCTAATTCTCGTAATTTAGTTCCTTTTTTCTATAAGACGTGCAGTCAGGGTGTAAAGCGTATTGGATAAAAACGACAAAGAATTTCACTTCATCGGAACGAAATATACCAGAGTTATCAAATGAGGTTCTGAAAGCCTTTGAAAGCAGCCGTTAAAGCTCTGGAGCTCGTTGATGCTCTAGATAATATGGCTAACTTGGAATTTCTCCAACTCTAACATCTTGATTTCCTATGCGTCCATAGTCTGGTTTTATATAGAACATTTTTACCAATTTTTACCCTAACCACAGACTTATGAGAAGTACATACAGCTCTCAAAATTGTATTGGTTTGGCACATGACCTCTTAGAACAATTTTTAAGTTCACATGCAATGCAACACAACTGTAAAATTAGTTGAGACTTTAAAGCTACCTTGAAAGGGTGTATACAGCGCCCAAAGAGTGTTGAAAGGAGAAACTTTTAAAATGGATGCTAAAATGAAGTGGATATATGCTTGACAACATCTAAAACGAAGTGTTGTATTTCTATTGACTTCTTGCAAGCTTTCTTGGAAAAACATCATTTTTTATTTTTATTTTTTTCTTTTCTTTTCTTTTCTCAAGATAAACTTATTTAATTTTTTCCAGAAGTGAAGAATATATTGTCATTTTGAAAAAAAAATTGTCACAAAAATACTGGTATTTTTTAGCTTCAATAAAATTAATCCATGTGACACAAAACAAGTTATGAACCCAATAGCAATAAGTTTTGCAAACACATTAGTGTTGGCAAAGGATTGGGTTATGCTATGACCATGTATGTTTCAATCCCCAAACATTGTCACTTCATAGTTCTTTTTAAAATTTTGTTCTTTTTGAAGTAATCTTTTAGCATTGTTTGTATAACAATGTCACTTTGATATATATATATATATATATATGCAAAACTTTTGCAAAAGATGTAAAAACTAACTCTCTAAAGAATTCAACTTAACCATTTCTTTTAAATGAAAATGCTATTGACAAGTGGTCATCTATTTGTCAATGAATGTGTTGTCTAGATTCTTCTTGCATAGATAGTAATTGTTGGAAACAAGTTGCTTCTTAATAGAATTCTTACAACAATTACTTTTTTCTATAAGTTATTCTAAGAATATGCCACATATAGATTGTTTGCATTCTTCAAATTTATAAACTAAGAGTTGTATTGACAAGATTGCATTAAAAGTCATAAAAAAAATTAAAGTGCAAATGATTTATTTCTAGCAAAGTAAAATTCAAATTGATTTGTAAACAAAAAACTAAGTAGACGAGAGGAATTTAAATACCTATTTGACATAGAAAGAAAACGATCACCTATAGCAAAGCTAACTTGGACTTCTGAAAACAAAACATCTTAAGTTATTAGATGAATCCATGATTGGTCTTGCATTAGATTTCAATAATCTTATTGTTGGTTCTATTTGCAAATAAACTAGCATAAATGGGTACTCATTTGTATTGCTCTTTAGTTAACAATCTTGTAAACATCAACTCTTTAGTTATCAATCTTAAGAATATCAATGAAAATGTTTCTCTCTCTAAATTCATAGTCTTGTCATGTTCATGAAGATAAGCTTCAAAAAATTTCTTATACTTTATAAGAGGTCTTACCTAATGTGGAGTGTTCTTTGAAGTAGATAGCTCATTAGACACGTGTAATCTATAAGTCGATTTTGCAGCATTGTTGAGAACTACAATGATGAAGTCACAATTATCAAAATGATTAGCTTATCAATGACCTAATTTTTTTTTCAAACACCTATTTAAAATAAGAAAGTTGAAAATATCACACAATACAAACCCATCCATTAACCTTCAACTATGCTTATTGGTGTCATATATACCATAAACCTACATCAATATCTATAGATCAGCACATCTATTTTTTATGATGTTAAGCTCATGGAAGGTCTACTCATAATGAACAAGCAAATCTCTGACGTAGGAACAATACTACTTGGAACCATACAAAGATTTGAAATATACTTTCAAAGTTTCTCTACAATCATTTTTTTAACTAAGACATGAAAATATAACTGCATGTTACTAGTGATTTATGTGAAAAAAAAGATATCATTGAAACAGACGAATCTAAATGCAGTGACGATTTTGAACTTCTTTTCCAGATAACAATTGTTCTGATGACAATGAAGATAAGGTAATCATTTAAGCAGGCTAATTCTATATTGAAACTTGCACATTACTTCTTAAATGAACATTTGCAAGCTAGCTCTTCAAATCTGTATCAGATTTTATAGATCGCTTAGAAAATACTAAATAAGTCATAAATTAAAGCACAACATCAACTTCATCTATAAAATTCAAGGTCCAATGTTGAACTTGCCAACATTTGAGGCAATCAACACAATGAACTTAACTTCTAAATGTTGCCTCAAATATTATTGCCTCAAATGTAACAATAAAATCCTAAAGTTTAAACAATAAAATCTTAAAGTTTTAAAGTCTTAATCTCATACAAAGATACAGGGTTCAATTCAACGGTAACAATAAAATCCTAAAGTTACTACTGCAAAGCACAGAAGCATTTATGTTGCAAGATTTGGCTTGCCAATTTTAAACAACTAGAAGTAATCTACCTGAGGAGGGAAAGATGATGATAAATACATCTCAATAAATTGTGATATCCATCCATTTATCTATGGTACTTGTCACGTCTAAGCTCAGTTCTATTGGAGCTCAGCTATGAAGAAAAGCTTTGAGCACCATTTGTATTTTTCATTGAAGTTTTACATAGCAATCGTGTTTAGATTATGAAACCAAGACAACAGAGTGTCGATTGCCATGGTGTATAGATTTGAGCTATTGAAGCAATGAGGTTTTGGTTAATTTGTAGTATATTGTAGAAAGTTTATTAATATGATTTTGTTATATTGAGGAAATTAAGTGTTCTACTGTCGTTGAATTTTTCTAGCCCTAGTGCATTTTATGTCTTTTGATTTCATGTTGTTTCCATTGAAAAATAAGCTTTTTTCTAATTAGTAATGGTTGAATTTATGGTGTGGGGGTATCTTTTGGGTTTTGGATGTTTTGAGGTCTTTGGAAGTCGTTGAATTGAACCATAAATCTTTTTATGAAGTTAAGGTAGAAAGAGAGGGTGATTGATGCAATATATAGCTTATTATATTGATGTCTTTTATAGAGGAGTGGATAGATTGAAGTAGTGCTTGAATTATTTTTGCTCACTACTTCAGCAGCAATATCATCCGAGCGACTTGAGCTGAACTTTGTAATATATTGTAGTATTAATCTAAGTAAACTCTTTGAATAATTTCTTTTATATTTTATTCTAGAGGCAGCTAGCACTCTAAGGATGGAGATGTTAAAAGCACATTCCCATTGGAAATAAGAGGCAAAATGCTGATTTCCAAGTTGATGAGAGGTTGCTTGTTGTCCTCAATTAGAACCTTGCTTTGTGAAGTTTCTTCTCCCAACTATCAAATTACAAGTAAAATTTTCCAACTTTTAGAATTTTGAAAGAGAAGTGTTTGAACTATTTTTTTATTTTAATCACTGTATTGGACTGGATCATTTACAAAATTTTAAGATAGTGAGATGTTTGTAAATTATTATATGTACGCACTCCTATATAGAAGCTATCTTTTGAATTTTATTTTGTTTTCTTTTTTTCTATGTATTTCTTCTTAAAGAAGCTATTTATGGAAACTACTATAAAATTATGTAGTTATCTCTTGATGCAAGAAATTACTTTTTTTTTAGATTTTTTTAATACTTCGGCTCTTTCTTCAATTCAAAGGTTCCATTGGATTCTAATGTACTTTAATTGGACTTAAGTAATATCTCCCAATCCTAACATATTTGTGTGAAAGATTGTATTCTTTTTTTGAATTCAAAATTTTTAGTTTATGCTAACAAAATCTTTTGCTTGATTGTATTAATTTTTAACCGATGAATTGTTTAAGGATTTTTAAGAATGTATAATTCTTGGTAATTTGATGTCAGTGGTTGAAACTTATGTATTTCTTCAATGGTTGCTGATGAAGGTATTATTTATTGGAGAACCATCATTGATAAATTTATAATTATTTATATGCAGAACATGTGAGTCTCAATTTTAGAGTGAAAAGAGGATTTTGTGTGTATCGGCTACTTGATTCAAATATGAAGCATTGAATTGTCAATTTGTAAACATGGGATTGTTTTCAACCCATTTTACAAATTAGTTGTAAGTGGATTAGGTGCCTAGTTGTTTGCAAGTCCTTTAGTTTTTGTTTAGATCTTACATGGCATATGTTTGAAAGAATATGGATTATAATCATTTTTATTATAGCCTCAATTCTTCTAATATGTATTAACCTCTCTATAATAAATATTGTGAAGCAATCAATAAGCACCAAGTGGAAAAATTGTGGAATTAACATTTGCTTCCAACTGTCTTGTGACATAGAATGGATCTGTTGAGGTTATTAATTGTGAATAGGGTGAGTGTTATTTTAAGTTATAGCTTAGGCTAGTAAAATTTGATAGATAAAGTGAGAGCTATAACTAAGTTATGCTTCTTGTCTTCTATAGAGTAAATAAAGCCTTTACATTCATCACGTTTCTTGATTGCGTTCAAGGATGTTTTTTACATCTCTAAGATATGGTAGGTGTCATAAGTTCAAAGGTCAAAAAAACCTTGTAATGCCGTTTTGCTTCGAGATCTCTTTTTTTGTTTAATGTTTGGATTTTGTTATATTCTGGAATTATGAAACTTATGATTTTTGTGGGCTTTTTATAGGTGAGGTAAAAAAAAGTTATCCCAGCTCCACAACAAACTGCGATTAAAGTTGAGGAGAAGTAAGGTAGTATTGTAATTGTACTAAAATACTTATGGTTATTTATGATGGCCTTATTAAAAATTGTCACATGATATTATTTTCCTTTGCTTGCAATAATTGTGGCTTTGCTAGTGTGGAGTACCAAGCCAAAGGCAAATTCCATATATAATTCGGTTGAAAAGGTTATATACTTCCTCAATCCCATCTATATATTAAGTATTATATTTTCATCAGATATTTAGGTCTACTATCTCTAAATATCTCACTACTTATTGGCATAACTATCAGTAAGCATAATGTGATGCCCAAAGTCATTAGCCTATTAACCTTGTGTTGCTTGTGTGGTTTCTTTTGTTTCTTTCTTTGATTCTTTTTATATTTAATCTTTGACTTGTTTGAATGCTCATATTTGTTTTGTTTACGGAGGCAGCTGGAAGAAGCTATAGAAAAAGAAAGGATTGAAAAATTCTGGTTCAATATTAGTCATGTCCCCTTCTCCTCGATGACTCGTTTCAAAACTTCAAGACATTTAGTAATGTCTTCAATTGTCCTTAACTAAAATTGCACAAGTGACAGACTCTAACGGTTTAAATCTACTATTGAATTTAGTGCATGGTATGGTCTATGATTCACATGAACCTTTTCAAATTGAATCTAATGAATGCCAAAAGATTAATGAAACCAAAGCTTTTTTGATTGTCTTGATCAATAGAATAGTTTGATAGGGGATCAAATTCTGTTGCCTTATTTTTTGAAATTTCACTACTAATAACTTTGTGGATGTATCAGTTTAATATCAAAGCGATTGTGATGCACTTTGAAGTCTGTGACTACACACTAATCTGCCTAGCTCAAGTCAAGTCAATGACATAGAATGCGATGTTGGTGGAATTTTTTGTAACTACACACTAATCTGTCTAATTCAAGTCATGTCATTGACATAGAATGCCACATTGGTGGAATTTCTAGGCAAGTGGTTTGTGATGTATTCCCCGTCATCCATCATTACTGTACTTGGTTTGCGCCCACTTTTTCCTAAATCCTTCCCTATTCTAAAAAAAATATCTTGATAGATTCTATTCCGACTCAATGAGAGCACTATGTCACAAAAAAGTAGCAATATAGTTCATAAGGAGCTATTATTACATTAGATATCCTTAGTATTCAAATTAGCATAGATATTTTTGTAAGAGAACCCTACAAAATATTATTAGAAGTGATTCCAAACCATTGAGAATATTTTTGTCATCTTTATGATAAGTATGAACAATCACTTTATTCACCTTTTCTTCGATTTATGGTATTTGGGTTCTAATTAATATTTTATCCTTTCAAAATGTGTTGTTTTTATTATTCAAGATGGCAATCATTTTATTGTTCATGAATTTCACAATGTTTTGTCAAAATCCTAAAGTACATGCACAAGAATGTAGAAGTTTTGAAGGAAAGGATTGCAACTAGAAAGATTTGTTGTCGTTTGGTCTAGAAGACGAGCATAAAGTATTTTTGCATCAACACAATGAATTACAAATTAACTAAAACCCAAGAACTCAAATAAACCTAGTCTCACTAAAAATTTGAATTAAAGTTCAATGCTTTTATCACTAAAACGTGCACCCAAATTTACAAATCCTCAAAGAAAACATTTCGGGATCTTACAGTAAATAATAGAAATAATCAATTTCGTCATAAATTATTATTTTGTGACAAATGGGTAAAAGTTTCAATTCTAATGCAAGAATCAGAAGTGATTGAACCACTGTTTCAAAGCAGACCAATCCTAACTACTAACTGAGATGTTCATCAAACGCTTTAAAGACAAGTTGCAGTAAATTCGGGCTTTTAAACGAGACAACGCCCCGTACCACTGGTATGCAGCAATCAGAAATTCAAAAAACTCTGTAAAGCCACACCATGCACTTGCTGAGCACCACATTATAAGAACTTGAAACATTGACTCGAAGACAGAAAGCTCAAAATGAGAAGTGTTTAGGGGTAACATTAGGTGTTTTAACAAAGCAGACATTTGAGGTGACTACTTACCCAGACGTATTCGTAGATTAGCATAATCAAATTTTGCCTTTGTATAAGCTAGAAGCCCCTGCTCGTAAAGGTCTGCAAATGATTTGCTCATAGTCAAGGCTATACGGTTTGCACAAGAAACTATTATAACTTCTCAGAAGATAAAGTAATATCAACTGCAGATAATATCCAGATTACCTTACAAGATGGGTGTCCAGCAACCCTAAACACCATCTGCAAGTGAGGCGAACGAGAAACTCACCTGGGCTCCCAGGATGTCCAAGTGACAAGCCACTGACAGCATTCTTGACATATGCCATAAGACAAGTTTTGCGAGTTGCCCCCAATCTATAAGCTATCGACCTCACCAAATTACTGTCGAACAACACAAAGGAGGCACATAAAATAAATACAACTGAGTAGGTATAAGTCTAGGATAAAGGATGCAGCTAGCCCAATCGTAGACCAACAAAAAGCATGATATTAAATGATCAACCAACAGCATGCCAGGCCACTCAATAGGAGTTTCCGGTAAACACTCGCAATCATAAACAACATTGACAGTGTCTGGACACCAGTGAATAACAGACGATTGCATAGACCAAATACAACTGAATAAATAAAAGAAAAAGGAGGAGGAAGAAAGAAAGAAAAGAAAGGAAATGAACGAGGAAAAAGAACTCTAAGCCATGTCCACAGTAAGCCAGGTCTAGGATGGGCCTACTCTGTTCGTAGCACAGTGAGGAACTCGCGATCTAAACCTTGCAACCATTCTGACACGTCACCCATAGTGAAACGTCTCACGTCCTCTTTCAACACCTTTGCTTCTTCCGGAGTCATTAATTGACCAAATGAGGACTTGCTACATATGTCCAAAACAAACCTTTCTTAATGTTGAATACCAGAAAATGCTTAGAATTGTTGTTGGAAAAGACTAAAAAAATAAGAAACAAATAAGTGATTTCATCAGCATATATGGGGATCTATGATCTGGTACTGACAACTGGGATCTCTCCGCCTACACATATAGATGACCTTGGACACTTGATGGACCTGAACAGCATAATTAACTCAGAGAAGTCCTCATACCTTGATATGGCCCGACCAGTAAATATGACAGGCAAATAGCGAGCATACTGTCCTGCTCCTAAATTTCTGCCAGTCTCTGATATTTCATCCGCATCAAGAAGGATGAGAGCCCGCCATAACCGGCAGTAGTTGGTACGAAATTTCTCGCCAAGTTCTCTGTATAGTCCGTGGTCTAATATAACTGCAGAAAATCATACCTCAAAATTTCCTCAGATTCACCCTAAAACGCAAATATTTATTAGAAACGTTCGTGTCACAAACCAAAATAGCCTCTGGTGTATCTGTATAATACAAATACAATACTAAACTTCATCACATGTCTGGATCCTCTTTCAGCAATTCAGAATATGTGCACAATCGAAGAATATACTAATTGATAGGACTAAGTATTAACGAGACCCCATTAAGAATGGCAAACAGTTGTATGCACAGGATGAAAGAAAAACTCACCAATATCAAAATTGTGTTTCCCTGAACGGGAGGGATCTCTGTGCACCAAAAGATTTCCAGGATGAGGATCGCCGTGCACAAACCCATGGCAAAATATCATCTCCGCAAAAATGGCCGCCAACAGAGAAGCCACCTGTCCATTTTACCCTATTAGTCTTCATTACGCGCTCTGAAAGCGAATCATTAAAGTGCAACACTTGGACAGCATCTTCATTACTACTCGTTTGTATCGTTTTCCAGTGCATCAAAGAACTCGAAAGTCAAAAGAACTCATATGCAAGTGACTACCTCCTTGGGGTCAACTCCTGCTTTCTCTAAACTTTTGATATCATCAATCTGCACGGAACACCACCATGATCAACCAATTATCCCCAAAGAAGATTGACCTTCATATTTGACGTCATCCCTCACCATATCATAACTTCGATAAGATCCGATTGAACCAAGTCACAAATGCAAGGTAATTACATGTTCTCACAAGGGTAGCTGGATAGAAACAGGTAGGCTAGAAATGATCTATCACGCCAATCTATGTCATACTCGTTGATGGAACCTTCAACAATTGGGGTCATTTCACATCCTTTCCGAGTCAATAACTAATCATACATAAAACATCTTTGAAAGCTCATTATTACAAAGAAGCGCATTCAATACTACGCCCTATAACAGCAGATTTTACTTCACATCAGTACCTACCTTGCACCCTTCCATGAACTCCATGGTCAGGACCCTTTTTGTTGATAATTCCTGCACTAGAATAATGAAAATGAACAAACATAATACTCATCTAACAATGATGATCAGATCCTAAAACATTCAAAAAATTTAAAAATAGTATAGACATGGCAAGAACAGCAAATTGAATCGAGAAGAAAAGTTATAATGCTCATGTCTTCCTACCTAATTTTGAGCAAACAGAAACATATCCAAACACAAGGTGATGCTCACCCTGAAAATACGTGGAATACGAACATTCCGGTTGTGGGCAAAGCTCTTAGCAGTTCTATCTGCATTGTCTGCTTCCTGAGTAAAATCTGGACCATTCATTTCAAGGTTATAAACGATGCAACGTTTAATCCCTTCAGAAAACAAAATGATTCACAGAATCGCATCATTGTTGTTAAGGCATATCTATTACAGGAGTATCCAAATCGTCGAAAAAGCATGGTATATGATAGAGCATGAACAAATTTTAAAGAGCACAATTTCGATGAGTGTTACACATATGTGTGTAGTACTAAATCTGTCTGTTGGAGCCGCATCACTTACCGAGCTCTCTCACTACATTCTTTTCAAATTCTCCCACTAGCCACTCAAATTGATAATCAGGGAAAATCTGCAATACGACAAAAAATAAATAAATAAAATTAAACTATCAGCTATTATTGAGCACGCTGCGCGTTTTATTAATCCTCGAATTCTTAATCTTACAAAAATGAGAACCACATTTTAAAAAAGAAATAGAAATCGTATGTCTGTATGTATGTGTATATATATATAAAACAAATGTGTATGTGTTAAGGAGGATATAATCAGCCACCAATTATTTTGGTGTAATTTAAATATGGCGAAGTAAAACAGTACCCAAGCAAGAGCCTTGGAGAGAAATGCCATTGTGGCAATGTCGGTTGCAAACTGTTTCTGCAAACCTGGATATTGCACCTGCCGAGTGCCTAATGAAATCAGATTCACGCACCAAAGAACACACCAAGTTCATAATTCTATTGCACTTTCCACACACACACACACCCGCATCAGATGGCACATGAAATGAAATACATATAGAGCTCAATAACTCACCTTAACAGCAACTTCTTGACCATTTTTAAGAAAACCTCGGTGCACTTGTGCAAGCGATGCGGCGGCAATCGGTTGCTCATCAAATGCTTCAAACCTGTAGCTTGCAAAAAAAATTAGTTCTTTGAATTCCAGAAGCACAGTCAAGGCCAAACGTTGAGAGTAAATTATCCAACTAACCAAGTACAATATATAAAAAACTGTTTCATAGCTAAGACAAATATTACAATTTTGGACTAAATGCTTTTACTGCTAGTTGACCAAAATGTGAAACCCAAATTCCTAAAGTATGAAACCACCACTAGCAAATAATCCAACTCACAGCTCTTTAACGTCTTTCCCAAATTCCTCTAGAAAGACCACCTCCAAATCCTTGAACGACCAGAAACTTGCCTGACACATACTCGAAAAGTCATATGGGTAAGAAAAAGCTTCCCGATTTAGAACTAAGTGATGGATATATACACTTGACGCTTGACCACGAACAATTAAATCTACGATTTCGTGTATACCAGGAGCTATTAAGATGTAAGAGCATGAAGACGTAGATCATATGCAACCAAACCACTGGTTTTCAGCAAATAACCCATTCAAAATTCTAGACCTTGTAAAGAAAATTCACGTTCCATGAAATTTAGAGCCACTTCCCATCAAAACACCTTCAAGCCGACTCCAGGACTCAAACAGTATGAGTAAAATAATGTGAAAAATGACGTATGATATATATTGACCTTATCTTGGAGAACGGAGAGTGTTGAAACAAACTCCTTCGGAACTTGGTGCATTGAAGCAACGGATTGTCCAGCTTTGATATAGAAACCTCTGTTTTTTTCACAAAGTCTTAGTAGTCTCTTAGCAGCTCGCAGATGCACCTACACTTCCATGGACTACCTCAAATCAATCGAATCCCACACATGATATCCAAACCCCAGAAAAGGAAAAAACAGTACGGCTTCCTATACTCATATATCTATGAACGGGTACACTCCACAAATCTTCTTCGAGGCAACAAATATATCCAAATATTACTAGAACCTTGCTATTCACTAAACTAGCTTTAGGCTTGCATGCGTATCCTGAAAGTAGTATGCAACTTATTCTCGCTATTAAATGGAACTAATCGATGCAACCGACATTCTGTGGGTTGGATAGAAAACAGACCTTATTTCGAGCATCGTAGTATGCATCTGATTTCTCGTCGAAGCCCCTCAAAGAGATCTTGTAATCCAAGCTGTTTGCTGCAAACTACAAAGACAGCGGTGTGTATCCATGAGGACAAATATTCTTAACAACTACAATGAAGCTTCATCAAAACTCCAAAATACTCTTCAATGTTGCCTAAGTCATAAGGGCTCACAGAATCCAGTCAGAAACCAAAAAATCTAGTCGGGCCTAAACGAAGGCCCTCGTTTGAGACGTCAATAGTACAAGAAATTACGCATACACCCACATTTAAAACCCTGACAGCATGATTCTTAACCTTGAAAGATATAAAAAACTTCAGTTTCACAATCCTGACTAAAGCCTATGATTAGACAGCAAATTTCCATGGAAAACGTTAACAAACACCTCCAGTAAATTAAATTGACGGTAACATTGTAACCACACTACAGTGTACGACGCCACGATCCAGCAGTCGTGTTCATCACTAAGCAAAAACCCTAAAACTTGATCAATCATGAATGTTTGAACAACATCATACATTTAAGTCAAGTCCCTCACTGCGTAAACTGCGCGAGATGATCGTATGAATCCCCTGCCAGCAGAAAAAACGTCTGCTACAGGACCAATTGAATCATTGAGCCTCAATTTGGAACTAGCGAGCTGAGGGTTCCATGTGATAGGATAGGCATAGGGCGTAGTCCCAGTATACGACGTCGCAGCTGTCACAGAAATTGCGGAAGCAGCTACAACTCCCAACAATCGCCTAACCGTCACCATCACTTCCTGTTCCAACAAACTCACAGCACAACAGGCTCAACCTTCAACTCTGACAATCCAATGCCTCAAATTCCTAACGAACGCCATCAACCACACAACCCAACGCTACCTTCGCGCTAAACCATCAGCCTACACAGCTTCACAACTTCAAGAATCACAACCCAAGACGACGAGGAGAAAAATTGCTCCCAATTCCACATCGTTCAAAACCCACCTGTTCGTCGCCACCGAAACACCCCAACAGGCTGTCTAACAAAGGCAAGCAGATTCTAAAATCAGGGGCTGGGGCTCAAACCCATACGACTGGGCTCTAATCCATCCCATTCACAATTGCGCAATCCCGCACTTGAAAACTCATCTGAATTTCTACTCCGTCCTTTTGTGGGTGGAAAAAAGCTGCTCCTGCTGCTGATTAAAGCGGCTCGTCCGTGACGACCAGATGGCAATCGCAGAGCGTGTTCCGAGTCGGCGTTCTGAGCTCGCCCTCCCTTCCTCCTTTTTTATTTTTACCTTTCCTCTCTTCGCACGGCGTCGAGGCCGTTAGCCATGGCCACACCCACGCAACTGGAACCCAACTTTCCCTGAAGACCACCGAAGACCCCCAACTACTCCCCGAAGACCCCCCCATGCCCCCTCTTGGTGACGCAGTTATGCTTTGTTCACCTTATCATGTGAGGCATTGTTGACCTTTCCTTGAAGCAACCCATTATGTTTTGTAGTCATTCTTATGTGTTTTCTTTTTGGTTTGATTAATTTTTTTTTTGTAGTTTTTTTCGTGTTTTTTTGAATGAACGTTCTTTGTGGTAGATGAGGTAATAAAACAATGTAAAAGGACTAAAAGAATATTTGTCACATTGATTAAACTATTTTTTAAAATGAATTACTTTTTTCTCTGTTTTCTTTTTCTTTTTTTCTACTGTGAATTTATTAAAGCAAAGCAGATATAAAGAGGTTGAAGAATACATTAAGAGATTACATGAAACATTGTCTTGTTTTTATAAAAACTGATCCATTGGAATTACAGTATTGTATGGGGTTTCATGATTGAATCAAAGTTATTATGGCAATATTTTACAAGTGCAACTATAAAAAATTTAGAAATATAATTTTTGTTTAAAGAATTATTGGATGACAATTATAAGTATGAATATATAGGAAATTGTTAATGGTGCATCTTCAATTGAAATTGCTACATTCTAATTAATATATGCCACAACAGCAGGAAGTAGGGGAGGCACAATGCCCCTTGCAGTGGTCCTATTAATTAGTCAACAAGCAAGGTTAAGGGACAATGCCTTGCAGGAGTCTCTAAAGGCAAAGTCTCCAAAAAGTTTTTATTTTCTTTTTCTTTTTTCTTTTCTTTCTTTTGGACTTTATTTGTAAAATTTGATTTTGAATTAAGAAGGTTCTTTTTTGGAACCTTAGTCTTCAAAATTATCTCTCACATTGTTTGTTTTTCTTACTTCTCTATATGTTTTCATCACTTTGTTAGAAAGGTTGATTAGGAAAAAAATAAAAAAATAAATAATGTAATTTTTTTAAAGACTAAGATTCCAAAAAAAAAACCTTTTCAATTCAAAATCAAATTTTATTAATAAATTAAATTTTTTTATTATTATTTTTAATAATAAGACTCTATCCTTGGAGACACTTGCAAAGCACTTCTCCTTGATTCCGTATACTAATCAATTAATAGGACTACTATGGGGGAATATTATGCCTTCTTGATATTCTAATTGTGGCAGATATTAATTATAATATAGTATTAATAATTATATATATGTATATAAGAAAATAATAAAATAATTCAAATTTTTACTAAAGCAACATATCCATCATCACAACCATGAAAAATTAATTACCTATAGATTCATTTTTTTACAATCAGATCTGCAACCAATGAAAAAAAAACATATTTATCCATAATCATGATAATCTAATCTTCATTGCTGTTGTCCACAATTATTAGCCGTAGTAGTCTTTAATTATAGAACCCTAATTATTTGTTTAGAAAAAAAATGACTTGCAACAAGTTCATCTCCTTGCTCTGTGCTCTATTGAGATAAGGATTGAATTGGCCTTCTCTTCTTTGTCACCTTTCTCTCCGCATAGCTTCTCTACTACCATCCTCTCTTTACATAGCTTCCCTACCACCATCACATTTTAATGCAAGATCTTGGAATTATATTGCAGAAACTTCTGTAATGATTGTTGCAAAGACCAAATTTTGGAAGCCTCCTAATATTTATATGAGATTGATGAGAGCTTGAGGCTTGCCAATTATTGTTAAAATCAACATAGAGATTTAATGTATGATTAATGATATGATTCATAGACCAGCAGTAGTTGTTATTATATAACATCCATATGTTGGTTAGTGAGCTTCCTTCTTAAATCTGCAATAATATATTTTTTTAGAGGTTGGCTCGGTAGTAGTTGTTGCAATTATAATCTGCATCTTTTCTTCTCTTAAAACTGAGATTTTGTGATTGTGGATTGGAAACATGGAGTCATTGTTGTAGCAATTGTATGCTCTTTCTCTCTTTGAGGTACAATATATGATGGCTTGATGTGTGTAGCACTTTGGCACAAGAAAGGTAGGAAGATGGTAATGGCATCAAAAAAGTCAAGTTTTTTAAAATTAAGAACCTTGTGAATGGTGTTCAGATTATTGTGCAAGCACGCCGTTTGTTCTTGGAGGTGAGATATATAGAATACACAAAAACTTGATGCTATGCATGTTGGTTACAAATAAGTCAGTCAAAAGAAAGAGCTTGGATTTGGAGATGATGGTTTTTGTGACTATAATAGAGAAGAACTTTGATATATTATCTTGACTACATGCCCGGCTTTTTTTTGCACTATATCTATTAGATTCTAGCCATTGTTGTATGCTACAAGGCAAAAATATAATGTCTAAATCTCCAAGTTTTGTAGTAAATTTTTTGCATCAAATCGTGGCAAACATGTTTTCTTAATAATTATACTTATTCTTTAAGTTGAATAAAAGAAAAAAAAATAATATCTTTCAATTTTAGGTGCCATGCCAAAAGATGATCTAGGTCAAATAATCACCTCCTAAAATAAATATTCAAAAAGAACCATTGCTTTAAAATTGCTACTCTCCACTTGGTCTCTACTTTTAGTATTATTGATGCTACGAAAAAATAATTTTTAAACCTAATTAATTATTAAATAAATTAAAGAATGTTGATATATCATTGTATGGACTTTGCACATTATTGCCGCTAGATCTTTTATCTAGATTACATTAATATTGGCCTACTAGGCCTAATTTCACAACTTATCAAATAATAGTCTTTGCATCTAAAATGTCACATTACTTCTGTCAAAGTCTTTATTTTGCTAGTTGTTGACTTTATGTGAAAGAATATGATTGTGATTCAAAAATTGGAGCTTATAACCTTGATGGCTATATGAATTATGAAAGCTCAAACCATGTCCAATCATGATGTGATTATCAATGATTACTTCCACAAATTTGTCTGATATCTTGAGCTAACTTTTTCATTGTTGTTTTTTGGTTTTCACTTTATTAAAGAAAAATAGCAAAGAAAGAAAGCTAATAAAAACATGAACTTGTTATCTTTGTCAATTTGAAGTACTCCATCCAAACTTAATTCCTCTTGCCATCTTATTTTATAAAAAAAAATTACTTGTAGTGGTGACTCAATTATGTTAAAGAAAAATATCTTGAATTTCACTTGCATCTCTTAGTGAAATCAAACATAAAATTGGTATTTAGATCTATTATTTTAAAATACCATCAATTTTACTACTAAAATCCTTCAAATTTATAATAAATTGGCTTAATGTAGTATTATTTAAATTGTTGCTATTCAAAATTAAATTATTTGAGCATTTAAAAAGATTTTGAAGGTAAATTTTAGTTTATTTTTGTGAACTTGTTTGTTTAAATTAATCTCATAAAGAATGTAGTATCAAGGACAAGAACTTGATGAAAGCAAATAAACAAGAGAGACTCTCTCAAAGAAATATGACAAAATAGAAATAGAAAAGTATGTATATTAAAAAAGAAACTAGAATGACTATTTCCAAAAGATAAGAAAACTAAAGACTATTGAAATTAGACTAAAAACAAGAAAGGAATTGATAAGAGTGAAGAAGGCTTCACTTTTGCCTCTATATATACTTTTTACCTAAAATCTATATAGTGGCGTTCTATAGGACCTCCAAAAACGTATTGACTTTATATGACATGTAACTTAACTTACAAGACAAGTTTTCTATATGGACATGACATAGTTAGTTTGTTCCACAAACCAATACATGTGGAATGTGGTTAGCTTGTTGACCAAATTTCTAATCTATTATTCAATTATAAACACATATAAAGTCAAAATACCTTCTAAGAAGCTTTTTTAAAAGATATAATAAAATTAATTTATTTTTATCTACTTCTATCTATTTATATTATCTAAATAATAATTACAATAGATATATATCTATGACATTACCTCCCTTCTAGAAACAAGTTCAATAAGGAGCGCTGATCACATGTTGAGAAAGTCTATGATGCAAAAAATTATATTTGCCATGTATTCTAATCTTTATTCTCTTTAAAGGTAATTAATAGGACTTCTCAACTATTGGTAATTTTTCATTCTAAAATAGAAAGACCAATGTGTTATTTGATCATTATTAAAACCTTCATAACTTTCTTTAAACAAAATATTTGTAATACCATCAGGAGTTGTTCTTACATTTAATAAAATTACCAAACATCAAGAGTCTCTTCTCAAGTTGTGATACCAAATTTATTAAATCTTACTATCTATTCAAAAAAGAATATGTCATTCTTGAAGGTCTTCATTCCTATTATGTTGTCTTGAAAGTTGTGATAATTGCAATGTCTTATTTGATAAGTCAACAAATGATGGCTTTTGAATTAAATCTGCTAACTGTTAATTCTTCATCTCTTTAATGTAATAATTATACAAAAATTATAAATAAAAATAGAAAATAAATTAAAAAAATTCTTAAATTATATTTTTTTATAGCAAAGATTTGCTATCTTTTATCTTGGTTTTGATGGATGTCTTTGATAAAAAATCTTTGATTTTCTTTGCTATATTTGTAAGATTTTTTTATTATCTCCCATATATATGTATTAATATTATATCCGCACTGATGAATAAGATATTCTAATCTATATTAATATTGCCTTAAGTCTAAGACTTCTTTTACTTTGAGTTCTTGATTATTATCTACTTCTATAAGATGTGGTGGTATTTGTCTTCTTTCTAAAATATTCATTGTCTTGTATGGCTCTAAAAGAAACATATGAAATACAAGATGAATTTTCATAGACTCCAGTAGATATAATCAATAAGCGACTAGATTGACTTATTCACAAATAGAAAATGGTCCAAGTCTACAACAATCCAACTTATCACAAAAGGCAAATAGTTTTAATATCACAAC